GCTGCGGGTTCCCCGCTCCTGAAAAGTGAGAAGCCAGAAGAGCCGCACCGGTGGGTCCTAGATCCAGTCCTGCTACGAAAATCACCCGAAAACACAGCACGCGGGCGCGGCTGCTGTTTGTTTCCTTAGAAAGCAGTGCGTTGCTGGGTGCGTTGCTTTAGCATAACAGGGAGAAAGCAAGCTAGACAGAGGAACGGGCACTACGCCTTAGGTCCATATAAATAAAATCCCGGATCACACTTTTATTCACCAGGACACCCCCAGGCAAGTATCTCACTTGTTGAATCCCAAGACAAATTAACTAAACCACCTCTCCTTGGCTACTACGCATCATCTGCTTAAACTACAGTGACTCTACAACAAAATCAAAAGCCACGATGGTGCACGTGAACCAGCAGCACAGGAGAAACGTGACGCCAAGTCAGTTCCTGCCATACCAGCTGCTGCCATATTTAGGTCTTTGTTTGAGGTTTTTGTTCTGGCTTTTGGTGTTTGGTTTTTAATTAGGAATTTTAATGGCACAAAAACACTTTTGCATTTTTACATTTGAAATCTTAAAAAAAAATGCCTCTAACTTTCAAAGGAACTAAGTCTTGTTATTAGTAACTTAGATTCTTCCTCTCTAAAAGTCTCTGCTGTGCAAGTTTGACTATCTATGGATCTGTAGGAAAAATCTGATACTACATTGTTGCAAGAAACTAGGGGTTCCCTGCCCCGTGTGATGCAAGCCAATCACTTTGAAGTCCTACAAAAACCTCTGCGCGTGCCTAAAAAGTTCCAGTCCAGAAAGCAAGTACCGACTATGCATTAACAGTAGAAGGTATTTTCTACGCTATCTAGTAGAACTAAAAAAAAAAAAAATCTAAACACAATCACGTATCAACAAATCATACACTTACGGTTTTCTTCAACAGAAGCTGAACATACTCTGCGACTCGCAAAATGTCAAATGAAGGTCACCTTCAGCAGCAATTTTACAGACTTACAGCTTTGATATTTTAATACACTGTGCATCTGAGAAAAATGATCCATGGAAAAGTGGTGGGTTGTACAAAACGTATCTTCATACGCGAGTTGATTTGCAACCCCTACCGTGCAGTGCATGAGGACGCTCCGTGCACTACCAGAGCAAATTACGGCCAAGACCAGCAAGTTTTCCCATTAAAGTGTCAGTACAGTTTTAACAAGGT